CGATAAGTCCTCAAAGTTGCTGATAAGTCCCCAAAGTTGCTCCAATCACAACACAAATTCTTGTCACGTTAACAATACACCTCTGACAAAACCCACTTATCAATCCTCGTCAATAGGATGATAAGTCCCCAAAGTTGCTCCAATCACAACACAAATTCTTGTCACGTTAACAATACACCTCTGACAAAACCCACTTATCAATCCTCGTCAATAGGATGATAAGTCCCCAAAGTTGCTCCAATCGCAACACAAATTCTTGTCACGTTAACAATACACCTCTGACAAAACCCACTTATCAATCCTCGTCAATAGGATGATAAGTCCCCAAAGTTGCTCCAATCGCAACATAAATCTTGTCACGTTAACAATACACCTCTGACAAAACCCACTTATCAATCCTCGTCAATAGGATGATAAGTCCCCAAAGTTGCTCCAATCGCAACATAAATCTTGTAAGTCCTCAAAGTTGCTCCGATTCTCTTGTCACGTTAATATCAAACACCTCTGACAAAATCAACTTATCGACTCTCGTCAATAGGATGATAAGTCCCCAAAGTTGCTCCAATCGCAACACAAATCCTGTCAAGTTAACACTACACCTCTGACAAAAATCCACTTATCGACTCTCCTCAATAGAGCGATAGGTCCTCAAATTCCAGTCAAGTTAACATCATACCTCTGACAACACAAATCAACTTATCGACTCTTTTCAATTGAGCGATAGGTCCATAAAATACTGTTAGGTTAACATCACACCTCTAACAGTCAAACCCCCAATGAACTTGTTAATCCTTTTTCAACAAGAATAGCAAGTTGTCATTATAAAATCCCCAACGGATTAAATATTTTCTGGAATTATCCTAGTGATAATAAAGAAAATTTCTGAATTTCACTCTAAGTGAAAATTTATGCCAAGTTAATATTACACCTCTGGCGTTTCTAACATTCTTTCAGTGTTTCAAATAACACAAGAAGAAATAACAACAAAGTCTACGTATTTAACATCGTAGCATCAAAAATCAATGTCTTACACGCATGGGGGACTTTATCTCGATCCCTAATTAGAGATAAGTCTACGCCTAACACACGTTGCCGTTTAGTCTTTTACCGTGAAAAGGACATCAAAATCCATGCCTCATACGCATGAGGGACTTTATCTCGATCCCTAATTAGAGATAAGCCTACGCCTAATACGCGTTGTCGGTTAGTCTTTTCCCGTGAAAATGACAAAGTCTATGTATTCAAAATCATAGCATCAAGTCTAAGAGGATTCATTCTCTTAGCACAACGTTACATGTGGAACGGACTTAGACAATCCACATGCTAGCCCGACTCAAACGGTAGTCGGTAAAGGCTTATCAAATCCGTTGATGGCTGAGGGTTTGCTAAAAATCCTACGCACGTTTGCAGGCCCATCAGTTTAATGGATGTGAGTCGAGATTTAAAACAGATGCGCCAAAGACAAGTCTCAAGGACTTAGTCAAAAAATGCACGGAAGCCACTTCCATGTCTTAAGTCAAAACGTTGAGATCAGACCCGCAATGCAAAAACCGAACACCGAGGTCACACCCGTGTTCCAAATTCAACATGCAAGGGTGAAACCCGCATCTCAAGTTCAAAATATAGGGTCCACCCCCATATTCCAGAAGCAGGATTATGGCGCATACCTTCACACAGGTCCTGCGTGGAAAATCCCTTCAACCAAGCTGCCTTCGAAGCGAGTGCAGAGAATAACTCCTTTGTGACAAGGAATCAATATCTCGAAGATCAGAGTTGAGATCCAAAGTATTCTGAAAATTCGTCCCAGTCAACCGCGAACTTTTGAAAACTTTAGAGGGGGTTCTGTAGGCTATCTAAAAATCACAATAGATAGTTGATCCCCCATCAAACACCGATGATAGAAGTTACAATCTGACGACTTCCAGAAGGCTATAATTTGAGGACTTTCACGTAGAAGGTTACAATCTAACGACCTTCACAACAACTAATGAAAGCGCCCCAATTCAACAGCTTTCACAATCAACATCGGGAGTTACAATCTGACGACTCTCATATTTTCATGGAGCCAAGACGAAGATTACAAGAGGACGATCTGTGCAAAGCTCTAGCAAAAGAGACTACAAATTGACGGATGGCCCCGTCTCGTCGAGATAGCCGATTTTTATATATAATTCGTCCAATTCCGACTTACGGTTTGAAAGTTATGACCTGTTCTTCGCAGCAAGTTATGTTCTGAAGTCCATCTGCAAGACTGGACTTCGTCAGAACATCGGACTTAGCCTGAAGCTCGCCGAGCCCACCTAAGGCTCACCTCTGCATCCAAGATTCAAAACGCAGAGGTCGTTCCCGCGTTCTAAACTCAAAAACGCAGAGGCCGTAGCTGCGTTCCAAACTCGAAACACAGAGTTCATACAGAACCCAACTCTGCGTTCCAAGTCCAAAACGCAGAGTTCATGCAGAACCAAACTCTGCGTTCCAGGTCCAAAACGCAGAGTTCACCTCTGCGTCTCAGATGCCAAAACGCAGAGTTCACCTCTGCGTCTCAGATGCCAAAACGCAGAGTTCACCTCTGCGTCTCAGATGCCAAAACGCAGAGTTCATCTCTGCATCTCAGATGTCCAAACGCAGAATTCATCTCTGCGTCCTAACTGTGCGTCTCCAATTTACAGAACGCGTGCGGCCTGTGTGTTTCCAATCTCTAGCAGAGATTTAACTCTGCGTCTCATCTCTAAGACGCAGAGTTAAGGTCCAGAACGCCAATTTAGGCGTTTGACTTGTTCAAACACAAGTGGAACGGCCTCAAAACCGTTTATCCCATGTTCTGAGGGATTTCCGCCCCACTTAGGAGCGGATTAAGGGGGTAGTTACCACCCTTAATCTCCTATAAATAGTGGGAAACTCAACTGAGTTCAGATCCTTCTTTTTGGGGGGAGGGGGAGCAAAGAAGAGATCTTTGGCTAGCTTTTGAGGGGAATTGTTGGAGTTTTGGAGACTAGCAACAGGATCTTCTTCATCCTTGGCTTACTAACCGATTTTGGTTAAATCAACTCGGTTAAATCAACTCTTTCACAGAGTCTTTCTAAACTCGTTCTGAGTTATTAACTCGTTAAGAGTTATTTTCAAACTTGCCACGCAATTCCTCCACAACATCAAATCGTGAGGAGAAGACCACGTTCTAGTGAATCAAGACGTTCGGATCGTCAACGAGAAGCAAACTCGACGCGAGCATTCGAGGGAGGCATCTCATCGCTACCGTGAAGAACCCAGAATTAAACAAAGGGGAGAATCAAATTCATTCTCCTCTCTTTTGTAATCGGAATCCAAATTGTAATCGATTTTGAGAGGAATACAAGTCAAATTTTTCTTTCATTATCTTTTTACTGCGAATTTCCAACAAACAGATACAGATAGTGGCGGCCCCCACCACGTTTCAATGGGATCACGTGAACCCAAGCCACGTGAATAGATCAAAACAAGAAAACCACGTGAGTTTCTTCGTTTACGCATGAATGTGAAACCGCGTGGGAGGTTTGAGTCCAGCGGACAAAAGGAAAGTGCAGGTGTGGAAAAAGGCCCACCCGATCACACCAGCCTATAAATTCAGAATTTGTCTAGGGTTTCGGGCGGTGTGAAGTGAGGGGTCGGCAGAGGGGTTTTCCAAAGAAATAAAAGGATAGTCTCGGGCGGCGTGCAAGCAAAAACAGAGGGGGTAAAGCAGATTGCTTTTTGGCTGTTTTAAGAGGAGTTTTTGTGTAGCTGTCTTTTTAGGGTTTTTGTGCATCCCCTTTTGAGAGAGATTTTGTGTGAGGGATCTGAGAGTTTGTGTGGTGGTTTAGATTGAGTGATTGTAAACCCTAGTTTTATCTCTTCCTCTAATAGTAGATCTCCCCCTCCTTGCCCCGTGGACGTAGGCAGTTTTCCGAACCACGTAAAATTTGTGTTCTTGCCGTGATTTGTAATAGCTTGTAGGTTCCCTCGACGCGCAGTCCTAGAGCTGACGAGAGGAAGAGCTGATATCTCACTTTGATGAGATATCTGGCTTTTGGTTCTTGTTTCCTTTGAGAAACAAGAATTTCGTTGTGATCTAATCTCTTGTTGTGCACCGGAGGTGCTGCCGAAATTTCCGCTGAACACAACATATTTGACATCCAGTGTCTCAGAAAAATTAAACTTTGGTGTCTAGCCTGATTATCACTGGATTTGGTCAAATATAAATGATTACTTAAAACAATGTACTTAAGGGAAAAAAAATTGAACCCATAACAATCTTTAACGGCATGATTATGTTCAACATATGCCCTGAAGACATCAGATTCGATCAAGATAGATACTAATCTATGTCAATTTTTTTGACATATTGGTTCATCCAAACCTTTTTTCAGGCTCAATTGAAAAAAAAAGCAAAAAAAACCCTTTGTCTCTACACGATTATCAGATAACACCTTAGCTTTCTCCAAACCTACTTAATCGTTAAGATATTCTTAGAAAACCGCCCTAGAAGCGCAAACTCCAATTCTTACTGGCAAAAATATATCTGCGTAATCCTACACACCCAAATGAAAATTCCAATTAATGTTGTCTGGGGATTTATTGATAATTATTAAAGTTAAAGGCGTTTTTAATGACCCCTAAACTTAAGGGCTTTTTCTGATGTTCTGAAAGTTATGGGGATTTATTTGATAATCATCCAAAGTTAAGGGGGTTTCTGATATTTAACTTTAAAAAGAAAAAAAAAAAGAAAGAGAAAAAGGAAAAAAAGAAAAAAAGGAAGGAAAAAAAAAACCCCTGCAAGTTTCAGAACAAAGGAATCCTAGAAAAGAACTCAAACCAGGCAATGGACAAAGGAATCTTCACAAAGAAAAGCAACTCCACCATCAGAAAAACAAGAAACCAGGCATAACTCCATGCTGAAGTAAACTGAGCATAAAGCTCCCCTTCAATAGTTGTCTACGTTTATAAATAATAATAATAATAATGATGCATTATATATGATTCAAACTCATATCATCTCAATCATATCATCAGAAAATGGAGGGAACGAAGGTTGGAGCTTCTTCGGAGCCTCGATCGTACACCGATATCGAGCCCCGTTCGCATTGGATGCATGCAAACGAATGGGATACACTTATCATGGACGTCACAGGTATTCAATCATATCCCCATAATTATTTAATTACACTAAATCCCCAAGAACTTTGAGCGTTTTGTAGTAATTAAACCACCATTAAGTTTCAAAATCGAACTAAACCCCGTCAACGAGTTTCATTATTTTGCAGATAAGCCCCATAAATTAGAAAAAAATACAACGTAAAAAGGCATTTTGAAAGTTATTGGGGGTTTGATGTTTTATCCAAAAGATATTGGGGGATTTGATCTGCAAAAGTTATTGTGAGGTTTACTGCGACTCTGGAAGTTATTGGGGGTTTACTCAAAACGTACGTTCAAAGTGCTATGGGGTTTAGGGTAATTTATCCTTTTTTTTTTTGCTAACAGACCCTGCTATTTGTTTTCATTCATCCGCTTCCCATACACATCCGGTTTTGTCAGACATGCATATGTGATTTCCTTGTTGAATGATAAGGATGCATTCGAATTCGTATATGTGACTCAACAAATGTCACATCTGATCCGTACCTGAACTGTTTGCATCCCTACAAGTCATGCTTTCACAAATTCACCAAACTTTGTAGAACTTAGACATTTGAATTGGATGCACAAATATCATTGACAGGGTTCAGGAAGGACCAGATGAAAGTCCTGATCAAAACATCAGGGAGCCTCACGATCAGCGGCGAGCGCCCGCAAGACGGCGATGGCAACCAATGGCTTCGCTTCCTCCAGACCTTCAAAGTCCCGAAAAAATGCAATCCTCACGAGATCCAAGCCAAGTTTGATAAAGATGAAGGTCTTCTCTATGTTGTGCTACCAAAGCATAAACATGCACGAGAAGAATCTCCAAGCACCAAACCGAGCTCTCATGCTACTCACAATGAACCAGAAGCTCAGCTGAGTTCTCCGACGAGCGAGGAGGTAGGAGGAGAGAGATTGGAGGAGGAGGAGGAGAAGAAGAAGAAGTTTGGGGAGGGGATGAGTAATCTTGTGACGGGATTAAGAGGAAATAAGGTGAGTTTAGTGGTTGCTGTGATGCTGATTATGGTTGTTTTGGGGATTGTGGCTTATTTGGTGTATAGGCTCGGGCGGAACTAACAATGGGGATACGTGAGCATTGGATTGTAATTGTAGGATGATCTGTTCAAATGTAAATTTCAAGGAATAATCGAAATGGAATAAGAAACACGAGAGATCAACGTAAACAACTCGTACTCTTTAAGTTTTGTTTTTGACATTAAAAATATCTTATTAATTGTTTTTTAAAGCAGCACGTCACTATTTTCTGCTAATCATCTATTGGTTGTTCCTTCAAATATTGCCATTGGCCTTCCACGTACATGTTAAAAGTATTTAGTGCGATATGCAAAATCATGTACTTTCAAGTAACTTACTATACCCTCGTTTAATTAATCGATCTCTCGTACCAAAAATAAGGATGAGAGACGACATCGATCCTCCTTCAACATTCAAACAGAAACAATCATCTAGTACATATATACCACCAAATTCATATCAAATACATCATATGCTATCGATTATAATCAAATTTATTTTCCGAGCAACAACAAGTGGAACTAAATCCTTCAATCTACCACCGCCATCTTCTATACCTTCAAGAACCTATTGAAGAAATAGTATTGCTCATTTGGAGTCTCCCCACTGATTGGCGCTGGAGAAGGCACAAGATCGGCCTCAACGTCTATGTCCATCACGGCCGGTGAAGGAGCCGAAGCATCCGAAGCCATTGCTGGGGATGGAGCTTCGACTTCTGCATCAAAAACAGTGATGACCAATTTCTGACCTGCATCGCAATGCGTGCCTTCGCCACTGTCAACCCCACATATGTACCACTTTCGTCCGGCGGTGGCTAGGATGATGACATCGTTGCCGGTGGTCAGAGGCTCAGCTGTTGACGGTACGCTACACGATTTAAAATCAGGGCCCGTTACCTTGATGACGTTGTGGTCTCCGATAGGATAGTTGAAAACTGAACAATGATAAATGTATGTTTGTTTTAGAAATAATCGGAATCACGTGTATATATGTCAAAATTTTAATCAGACTCATATGTTGAAATTTATAAATGTGGTTATTTATCAGTTATGTTCTGTTTTGTTAATAAATGTCGAACTTTGGTCATCACATGATCCATGAGAACTCAATAATTGACAGGAAAAAAAAACTCATTTTTTGATGATGATCAAATGATGTATGTGCTAATGAAATAGAATGTAAATGATAAATAGCTATACCATAGGACAATATAGGTTATTTTAATTCAGAAGAAAAATCTGCAACAAATACTGCTGCTAAAGAAAATTATATACCAAGAGTGTCTCCGACTCTGAATTCTTTTCCTTGAGCCCAAGCGGTGTAATTGAAACCAAGCGTCCACCCATTATCATCCCCGACTATGTGTTCAGTGGCTCCGATCAATGTCGGAATTGCGAAAGCGAAAATGGCGAGAAGGGCAGTCGTACTCTTACAAGCCATTAGAACTCTTGTTCTTTTAATGGTATTAGAGTAAAATGCAGTGATCGTTGAGAAAGAAAGATAGCCTATTTATAGGAGATTTTGCATACTACAATGCGAAATTTGACCTTTTCAGCTAAACCACAGAGCAGGACAATGGAACTTAGAGAAGTCCGTCTCTCGGCCCATTTGCTAAGTTGTAATTAGAACTTCTGAATACTATTCCAAACACAACAACTTTAACATGATTTACCTTGAATTTACTAATCACATGAAGATTTGCCATTTGGTGTCTGCCGTATGCTACTACTTCGCTAGTTCCTTTTTGTTTCTTAACCAAATTCCGGCTTTGGACTTCTGCTACATACCAAATAATATGATAACATCCAACAATAAAAAATTAAACAAGAAAAGTGTTGGGATTTTAGATCTCGTATAAACCTCGAAAACCACCAAACGTTGCAAATAAAATCACACAAGATTTAACGTGGAAAATCTTCAATATGGAAAAACCACTAGATCGAAAACAATCCACTATCACCTCCAAATTATAATTTTTTGCATGGACAAAGACTGCCAAACCCTCTCTCACTCACAATACCCTTGAACCCAGTTACATCCTCTGTTAAACCCTGATTACAAGAATATTGTCTCTCCCCCTCTCTCCACATCAAAACCCTAAAATAGGAGGCCTTATTTAAAGACACCTTTGACTTACCCACTAACTTCGTCTTTAAGAAAACTACTAGAATTGGACCTAGCCTTCATATCTGCATCCTACTTAGAGTATGAGTCGATATCCAGCATATCCTCCTTCGACGAAAAATCTCCAAGTATCTCAACAGCTTTAGAAAAACTCACTCTATTCTTCTTCTTCTTCACCTCTCCCTTGTGGATAGATCGTCCATCTAAATAGCATGTATAGTTGCTATTCTTCCTCACTCGTAAAATTAAATCACCATCTTTATACACTTTGTACCACTCTCCTTCATCTACATACTTGTATCCACGTGATGCCATCTCACCCAACAAAATTAAATTATCACCACATGACTGTACATATCTCACATGACGAACAATGTCGACCTTCCCAGTGTGAAGCTTGAGGTGAACACTCCTAACGCCTTCATGTTGGATATCATGTTCCCATGATATAATTTTGATGATGATAATAATTTATTCATAACATGAATCACTATGTGTATTATAGTGCACTAACATTTCAGTACAGATTTTAACATGAACAAGTGCAATATGAGTTCAAGGTATCATGAAGTAAAGAAGATGAAGAGCTTATGTATCAATGTAAATTTTTTATACATTTTCTTTACTTAGAAATATTGTACAACCCTTGATCACTCACACACACATAGACATTAGAACACATTAACACAGGCTTAATGTGTTGGTTAACAATAGAAATCCCCTATGTTAACCATTAGAGTTTTTAGTTAATCATTGAGTCAAAATATATTTCATACATAATTTTTTCATCCCTTAGTAGTCGACTAATTAGTTTAGTAGTCGACTACTAAAGTCTAAGATCAAAACATAAGTTTCTGTAAAATTACAGAGTAATCGACTACTCAGGATTATAGTCGACTACTCAGTTTTGAATTTTGATTTACAGAACTTAAGTTTTACAGAGTAGTCGACTACAACTAACTATAGTCGACTACTAAGCTTTGAAATTTACTTTACAGAACATCTGTTTTATAGAGTAGTCGACTACTCAGGATTATAGTCGACTACTCAGCTTCAATTTTTGATTTACAGACTTTCTGTTTTACAGAGTAGTTGACTACTAAACATTATAGTCGACTACTACGACAGTTTTTCTGAACGTTTCATGTTTGAATTTGAAACAGTTTTTAGCTGTTTATATCTGTTTAATGAATTCAAAAATATGTCTTTTCAAGGGATATAAATAAGTTAGAAGTTTAGAATTTTCAACCATGAAAATATACATATAAGATTGAATTTGTATGAAACTCAAGTGATAGAAAATCTGATTTTTACTTGAGTATTGAGAAAAATAAAATTCTACAATAACTATTGTTCATCTTCATTTTACAAGATTTTGAAAAGAATTCAGAGAATAAAAGATTCTATAAGCCACTTGTAGGCTGTCTAAAAATCACAACAGATAGCTTATCCCCATCAAACATCAACAATGGAGGTTATAATTCGACGACTTCCAGAATGCTACAATTTGAAGTCTTTCGCGTAGATCAATGAATGTTACAAATCAACGACCTTCACGATAACCGATAAAAGCTCTGATCAATGGTCTTCACAACCAATGATGAGAGTTGCAATCTGACGACTCTCATATTTCAAAGAGCTAAAGCGAAGATTACAAAACAATGATCATCGCGACGCTCTGACAGAAGAGATTACAAGTCAATGATCTCTTCAATCCAAGACGCATAACTCATCCCTGCATCCCAGAGGTGAAGCACAAATGGCCTCATTCCAGAGTCAAAGCTATGCAAACGCAGCTCCTAAATGCTGCAAACACGGCTTCCATTCACTGCCAAACACAGATCCTAAATGCTGTAAACGCGGCTTCCATTCGCTGCCAAACGTAGCTCCTAAATGCCGCAAACACAGCTTCCATTCGCTGCCAAACGCAGCTCCTAAATGTTACAAAACGTAGCTTTCAACCGCTGCCAAACGCAACATCTAACTGCTGCCAACGCAGCTTCTAACAGCTGCCAACGCAGGTTCTATCTGTTGCCTAACGCAGCTTGTAAACACTATGTTTACACATAGATTTTATTTTAGAATGTAGAACCCACGTTTGACTCGTTCAAACACGAGTTGAACGGTTCCAGAAACCATTTTCTCCCCATGATCTGAGGGATTTGGTTCCAGAAACCATTTTCTCCCCATGATCTGAGGGATTTCCGCCCCCACTTAGGAGCGGATTAAGGAGGTGGTTACACCCCTCTCCCCATGATCTGAGGGATTTCCGCCCCCACTTAGGAGCGGATTAAGGAGGTGGTTACACCCCATTCAGCCCCACTTAGGAGTGAATTAAGGGGGTGGTTACGCCCCTTAATCCCCTATAAATAACTAAAAAATCAGTTTAGTGGAGGGCTTTTTGGCGGGGGCAGATCAAGAGAGATCTTTTGATCCTTGAGCATTTTCAGATCTAGAGATCAGCAAAGGGCAATCTTTGGCAACAGGAGCTATCTTCGTGCTTGGCTTGTCTAATCAATTACGGTTAAGATCAATCAATTCTTTTACAAGAGTTTAAACTCGCTCTGAGTTATCAATTCGTTCAGAGTTTCTATGTATATGTAGTCATACATATACATATATGTTTCTATGTATATATATAGTTATATATATGTTACTAATTTATGTTACTATATATATGTTTCTATGTATATATATAGTCATACATATACATATATGTTTCTATATATATGTTTCTATGTATATATATAGTTATAGTCATACATATACATATATGTTTCTATATATATATATATATATATATATATATATATATATATATATATATATATATATATATATATATATATATATATATATATATATATATATATATATATATATATATGAGATTAATGGGTATCCTTGTCATAGGAGGGATTTCCTCCTATGACGCGCTCTAAAATCACATGATTGAGCGACATTGTGGATGATCGGCTCCGTTGAACTTGATCTACATATTCTAAAATCCCAACACACCAAAGTTTGGGGTTGAACCCATTGTCGTTTGACCCTTCATCCACTCGTATCATTTTAACGGTTTGAATGAATAGAACTTTTCACATGGCTCGATGGAGGGTCAAACGACGACGAATTCACCGCCAAACTTGTGTGTTGGGATTTTAGAATATGTAGATTCAAGTTCCAATAGAGCGGATCATCCATAATATCGCTCAAGTCATGGATTTTGAGGGGCGTCAAGGAGGAAATCCGCCTCCTATGACAAGGATACCCATTACTCTCTCTCTCTCTCTCTCTCTCTCTCTGCTCTCTATATATATATATATATATTATATATATATATATATATATATATATATATATATATATATATTATATATATATATATATATATATATATATATATATATATATATTATATATATATATATATATATATATATAGTTATATATATATATATACATACATAGTTTTAAGTTTTCGTGCTTATAAATATGAGATTACATATTTATTATTGTGTTTTGGTTTAACTATATAGACATGAAACAAATTTACATTCATATATATAATCATATGTTTCATATGTTTCATACTCTATTTTGTTTAAGAATATATTGAATAGAATATGTAATTTTGAGAAAATATTATTTTCTTGGTTTATGAACTTAACAATAATCATATACATCTTTTATTAAGTCTACAAAATTATTTTGTAATGTTTCAAAACATGGTTAAGCAAAAATATCAAAACTCATGTGTTCACATTTTTATGTTTTGGACTATTTTGCAAAATAATAATATTTCTTATTTGGGAGGTCCTTTTTGAAAACCAATTTTTGTAGCATGTTTATTATCATGTCTACAATCATCTCCCAAAGTTTCATAATTTTTGGAATTTATTTGATATTTTTAAACTTGGTTTAAATTTGAGTTTTTCTGTGCATTTTAGATCTGTGCATGTTTAGTCGACTCATTAGTCGACTCACGAAGTGCAACGGAGTTGTAATTTTTTGTCTGCTGAGTCGACTCATATAAGTCGACTTATCAGAGAGTGTTTTGTTTGTTTATAGGTTTTTGGTCTTTTTCTTGGGGTTTTTGCTAAAGTTTTGAATGGGTATAAATACCCCTTGCTCTCATCTTTCACAATAACTAATGAAATGTTTTAAACAAGTTTAAAAGAGTTTTAAAACAAGGGTTTAAGTTTGTTTAATGTTTGTTTAGAAGCTTTTAAGTAATTGAGGGCTTGAGTTTGTGAATTCAATTCCACAAGAGCTTGAGGAGATCATCTATTGGAGTTTGAGCAATCAACTATTCT